TAGATATAAGAGCCCTGGCTTCTTATTCCTGGAAATATAGGATTATTAGTAGGTATAATAGTTATTCCTATACTAATTAATATCTATATCTTGGCCTGGCTAGTAATAGCGGGCCTAAAGAAGCTATTAAAGCTTGGCTTATTCTAGATATCCTATTAAGGGCTATATATATACTTCCTAAATAAGGGTAGTATATAAGGGCATCTCGGGTATTATTATACTATTAGGAATAAATAGTTTACTATATTATAAGAAGAGGCTGTCTTATAATATTCAAGTGCCTTCCTTCTCGTTTCTTGCCTTATCCCATAGCTCTTCTAGCTCCGGTAACTCTCGGTTCTTGCTTAATAGCTTATCTACTAGCTAGATACTATTATACTAGGTTTCTTCCTGAGCCGGGCTTATAAAGGCCTTAATTAGAGCTAACTAGAGATCCTATATAATATTATTATTAATCTTTTATTATAGGAGGAGAATTTAGGTTTAGTAGGCTACTATTACCTTATTCTGGGTAATTATATTCTCGTATTTCCTATTTAGGGTATCCGCTTATTTATTTAACTTATCTATCTAATATATAAGCTTGAAATAATAGTAAGAAAAATACTTTATCTAGTAAACTTATCTTACTAAAAGCTTCTTTATAGTTATAAAGTACTCAAGGGCTTAATAGTCTAAGTAAATTATAAAGAGTATCTCTTATAGGCCTTCTAGCTCCGCTTGCTATTTAGTTAAAGAGAAAATAATAATAAGTATCTCTTTATTATAAATATTATAATTTAGCTCTCTAACTATATAGTTTTAGAGAAAAATACTACCGGATACTAGAGTTCTATCTAGAAATCTTATTATAAGAGAATACCGGCTATAACTCTATTTAATATATCTATCTCAACTATAATAGGGAGGTTCGGGTTATAATAATATAGAATTAGTACCAAGAATATAGCTTGCTTTAGCTTAGTAAAACCTTCTTAATACTAATTTATTTATTTAAACAGAACTTCCTTATATATTAGAGCTATTAGAAACTTTACTATATAGCTATATTCTATAATAAAGTACTAATAAAAATTATAAAAACCCAGAAAGCCTTATATTTCTTTAATTATCTTTAGTAATTACTAGTCCTTAATAACTACTATCTTATCTGGATTTACTTTAATATCTCTAGTAAAAATAATAAAGCCTAGGTACTTTATATAAGTAACCTTAAACTCTAATTTCTTAATATTTACTTAGAGGCCGGTATCCTATAACTATTAAAGGACCTTTTATATATAGTCTTTATACTTTAGGGAATTATTTAAATAAATTAGGATATTATTCAAATAAGCTATATAAAAAATATTAAGGTAATTAAAGAGAATATTATTTATATACCTCTAATATATAGCAGGGCCATTAGTTAGGCCTTCCCAAAGAACCTTATACTTATAGGCCCTATATCTCATATAGAATATTATAAGTTCTTCTAATTCTGGATTTATTTGGATCTAATAGAATACTTGCCAAATATCTAGCTTTATATAAACTTTGGCTTAAGCTAGCCATATAAGGGTCTAATAAATAAGAAAAAGAGAATAATAGTTCTTCTATATTAAGTTATTTAGCTTATAATAATTAATATAGAATTAGAGAGCTCTATTAGCCTTCTTTATAAAGAGAATTAGAGATATAAAAGAGAACTAGCTTGGCTTAATAAAGCCCTATTAGAGGTTCTCTTTAAGGAAGCATTTGATCTCCTATAGCTTATAGGTTAACTATTAATAGAGCAGGGAATACCCTAGGCTCTCTGGGCCTTCGGGATTATTAATCTAAATCTTATAGTTATATAATTAATATGGGAATAAGATATTTAATACTTCCTTTAAGAAAATGTCTGCAAAATCCTTAAACTCCTCTAGTAAGACTCTTACTAGCTACTATAGCTCTATCTTTCCTGGCTATTACTTGCCCGGAATAAACTTATTCTTTTATTATAATTCTAGCTCTTTATTAATCTCGAAAAACGATATTATAAAGAAAAGGTTCTCTTTCTTTTATAGGTTTATTTAGAAAGCGGCTAGTAAGATATCTATAATATTAACCGAGGGCCTTAACTAGATCTTATAGCTTTCCTTTAAATAATATGATTTTAATATCTCTATTTCTAGCTTAGGAAAAACTTCTATATTTCCTAAGGCTATTTATATTTCTCTATAGTATTAAGCTTAATTCTTTTACTATATATGGCTTTCTGAGCCCGGGTCAGGAAAAGAATAAGAGGGTTTCCTCTTTATAAGCTAAGATCTCCAGGACTTATCTATAGCTATGGCTTTATTTCTTCTATTTATATCTTTTTAGTACTAGTTACTTTTCCCAGGTTCTAAGTTCTTATATATAGTAATTAGGATCTTATCCTAATTCTTCTTTCTAGGCTAATTATCTAGCCAGATTAATCTTCTATTCTTGTAATTAATTAGAATACTAGTACTTATAAACTATTATTATCCCAAAATCATATTATACTTATCTAGCCCTATAACTAGTATAGATATTAGGACCTTCTATTTATTAATTAAGAGTATAAGCTTAATATAGTAAGTAATAAGTATGGCCTGCTTACTATTAAACCCTCTTATATTATAGGATAATACTAATTAAGTAGGCTTAATATCTAGAAATTATTTAATTATTCTTATAAACTTAAAATTAATAAAAGTATATCTATTTACTCCGGTATTAATAAAAGAAGAAGTCTTAATACCTAATCTATTATTACTAACTATATAAGGAAATATAAATGCTTTATTTCCTAGTAACTAGCTCAAATTAACTTCTGCTATATTTATATAATATAGTCCTAAAGAAGAGACTTCTTTTAGAAGTCCTTATTTCCCTATTTTATATCCTTAAATAGCTTATTTATAGTAAGTACTACTAGCTTGGCTGCCAAAACTTGCTTTATATACTTTATCTTGGGCTCTAAATAGTTCCTAAATATATAATCAAATCTATTATAGTTATAGTACTTGAGATCTAAGAATCCGGGCTTCGGGATAATAGGCTTATCTATTACTAGGGTCTTAGAAGCGGGCTTTATATAAGGGGCGCCTCCTGGGCTTGGCTTATCCGTATCTTTATTAGCTTTCTTGAATACTTATTCTTTCTTTTTATAGTAAGCTCGGATCTATTAGTTATTTATAGTATAGTATTATATAAACTTTATAGTATAAATAGCCGGGTTATTATAGTATATAGCTATGGCCTTTTAGAGCTTCCAGGTAAGCTTATTATTTAGGTTATCCTTAAGGTCCTATAAGTTAATATTTCTATCTACTATATGCCTTAGGAATAGGATATAGAACTCCTAAAAGATCTGGCCCTTCTTTATAAATAGTTCCTTAAATGCTTGCCAAGTATTATACTCCTTATTCGGATTACTATATAGCTTCTCTAGATAGGTATATAGTTCCCTAATAGTCTCGTATATATATTAACTATCCTGGTTTAGGTAAGAAAAGATTAGTATAAGGATATGGCTACCTATATAGCCGGATATATAAATAATCTTGAAGTCCTCTATCTAATAGGTATTAGAGTTACTATAAAGCTTATTCTTAATCTGAACTAACTAATTATTAAAGGTAATACTATCCTTAGTTATATCTTCAAAAATAAGAGAATTAGGAAGTTTAACTAAGTATTTACTTTCTAGAGTAAGGGAACCAGTTATTCCGGCAGGCTATATAATAAGCTTCTTAATAATAGCTTTATTCTTTTATAGGGCTTACTTGGTTTCTTTTAGCTAATCCTAATAATTCTCGCTATAGGCAAGGATATTATATATCTTTAGAATTAGCTTAATAATCTCTTTATATAAAGTCTCTGGGTTCCGAAGTAACTCTTGGAACTTCGCCTTTAATAAGGCAGATTCCTCTTTTTCCTTTATTCTCTGGAAAAGAATATCTTTTCTACTATAAATATTAACGGGATATTCGGATCCCTCAGGAGACTTAATAAGAGGCTCTAGTTCACCTTCTAGTAGTATACTAGTAGTATCTCGTACTATAGCTCCTTCTGACTTGCCTAGTTATTCCGGAACTTGCTTTCTTATAGATCTTCGTTTAGTAATAAGGTTACTGGCCTATCCGCTTGCCTGGCCAGTCCAGGGCTTTCTTGCCTAGTTATTCTAGGGCTTTCTTTTATTCTAATATTAGTTAACCGGTTCGGGAGTAGCTACGGTATATTACATCTGTACTTATTAAAAACTGATCGGATATATATTATTTAAATCTTCCGCAGGATTAAGAAATAGATAAGCTTTAAATTATATTACGAATATAAGATCTAGGACCTGGAAGGCGTAATTAGACTATCTCTATTTCGACGATTCAAAGCTAAAGAGAGAAGAGGATCCCGAAGAAGCCTCGGATCTAAATAATCGCGAGCTATATATGGGCCTACGTACTAGCTTAAGCTCGGGGTCACGTGTAATAATTAGGTAACTATAGATGCCTCGCTCAGATGCCAGATGCCTCTCTAGCTCTAGTCTAACCCCTACTAGTACCGTATATCGTAATAACCGTAATAGTTTCTATAATTCCCTCTTCTTATCTTTATATACTTATATATTTAGTAATTATAATAGTTATATAAATAGATAGTTTAGCAAGTAGTCTATAAGTAAAGGATCTGTACTTTTATATTGGATATATCTACTAAACTATATAGAGAGATTTTATAGAATAGTTTTATAATATACTACTTAATATTAGTACTATATAATATATAGTTTGATTTTATTTACTTGGTTAGGAGAAGTACGGGAAAACGGGGATAATATATTTCTAAGGGCATTTAGGCGGTATAGGCTCTTTATCTTCGTTATTATTATTTAGCTCTTTCTTTTTTGGGGTACTCCGGAAGTCATCTCGTCTCTATAGCATCTCGCATTTGTATATTATCATTTGTAATAAGTAGTCCATATATTTTAAGATATTTAGTTAATTATTAAACTTGTTTCGTCCTTTAATTATATAACTCTCATTACAAATATCAGCTCCGTTAAGCCCTTCTTAATCTTTGCCTACTCGCCCCTCTAGCCCCTCCTCCGCCCTAGCCTTTTCCTCTACCCGCTCCGATCTAGAACGATGCTTCGGATTCCTACGCCTCGCTTCTATATCGTGGCAGCACTGCCAACCTACATTGGGATTAGGGTAGGGAGAGGTGGTGGCAGCACTGCCAACCTGCATTGGGATTAGGGTAGGGACAGTGGTGGCAGCACTGCCAACCTGCATTGGGATAATTACTACCCTTATTTAGGTCGCCGTTGGTTAATTCTAACTAATTATAATCACTACTAACCATTAGGCTCCAAGATGGATAAATGGCACCCACTCATCAACCCTTTCCTGTGCATTTGTCCTATCCTTCCAGAGGCTGACCGTCGCCTGATGCATCGCATGGGCTACAGCGTCATTGTCACTAAACCTTTCCTGTTTCTTTTCAAGGAGCATCTTGTAAAATCTCGGGGCAATCTTCTGGGCAATCTTATCACTTGCCTCCCACAAAGTTCCGATGACATGGGGAAAGCCAACTAGACTGAAGGCACTCGCCACGGCAATCGACTCATCGACAATCTCGCTGTTCTTGTTCCTCGCCGTCGAGCAAGCCGACAAGTAGGCTATCTGCACTTGGTCGAGAGATAGCTGACTAAGGTCTTGAATTGTCAGTCGTTCGTCGGCTAGCTCTAGTCCGCCCTGGGAAGGACTTCTGGCCTCGGAAATCCCGTGGCAGATAAAGTGCGCAATATTTGTTGACTTCAATTTCCCCAGTGCCTCCTTTCGAGACGGCATCGAAAGGACTGAACTTTTCACCGTGTCCGGCAGAAAGTTCTTGACCACTCCGTCAATCTCGGCCCCGACCTTCAGTTTCTTGTATCCCTTCTTCTCGGGCACGCTAATGACGAGGAGCTCGGTACCCGGATCTCCCAGCGGTCTCGGCTGTTTCTTCCTGGCGTATGCGAGCGCCTTGAGGGTCGGGATATAGCTGGAAACAACATGGCTCATGGTGTTCTCCGTGGAGGTGCCCCAACCACTCCCCGCAGCGTGTAGCGGCAGGAGACCCAAGAGACCGCTTGTGACCCACCATATGCGCGGAAGCCTCTCCGGGGAGGTTTTCTTGATGAATTTGAGGCGTTGGAGGACCGGCTTGACTGCACAATTCCATAACCATTGCAGGGTCTCGCGTACGCGCTCGTTGTTTTCTGCCCTCCTCGACGTGGCGACACTAGCAGGGGACTTTCCTCGGACTAATAGCTTGACATGTGCTTGGAGGTCCTCGTGCTTGATCTTCTCGAGCTGAAGAACTTCGACATGGTCCCTGGTGACAAGAAACGCATAAGTAACGTCCCCAGTGGTACTGAAGCACACGATGGGCCCACGGCTGGCAAGTTTAGTGAAGTTGGTCGTGGAGTGTGTGCGTGGGAACGTTTTGAATCCAGGCAGGGCACGGATCTGGTCCTCGAGCAGCTTTAGATCTTTGACTTGCTGGTTCCGGCGCGATATAGCTGCGGCAGGCGAGAGGCTGGAACCATCGTGGCTAATCCGCACCAGGGGAGAAGATATGATATAGCACAGCTCCGTATACCGATCGTAAAGCTCGCCATGTTCTATCTTCAGATCAGACACCTCGATGGTCAAGCTGGCGATGATCCCGCGACCGGACTCCAATGCGTGGAGAGCTTCCGAGGCAGACCGGCCTTTTTTGGAACGACAGATATAGTAGGCCGCAAGGGGGCCTAAGCCAGATAGCTGACTGATAACATACTCCACGTCCTCCCTTGCCATTGTTCGCGGGTTCAGCCTAGGCCAGAGGCTGATGGCCAATTCATATGCTTCTGCGGCACCGTCCGAGTCCATGTTTACCGATCTCAAGTCGCCAAGTTTCTTGCAGACGCGGATCCTTGTGAAGGGATGGCCATTCTCAAGACCTGCCACCTCGCGGTAGTGGCCTTCTGCCTTGTTCATGAACTCTTCTCGCTTTTCTGGCCGTAGGCGTGCTGCTATGTGAAATTCCAGAGCCATTGCGTCGGCTAGACATTCGATAGCTTCGGCCTTGTCTGGATGCCCAGTTTTGAGATCTTTTATACCTCTTTTGGCAAAGGCCACCATCATGCCTGCGTCAAATAGTTGTTGAGATGCCTGCGCCTGAACTTCGTACATCCGCACGACGCTGTTAAAATACTTCCCTGACTGCGTGTAGGTCCGGTCAATGATGAACTGTGCTTTGTGTGCAGCCTCGGCCTTCTTGACGGCCAGCGCCAGGACTTCCATGTTCCCGGTCTGTCCGTACAGCTCGAGATAGCCGTTTGACTGGTTGTCGAGCAGCCTCGGCAGCATTGCGTCTCCTTTGGGAATGGCAGATGCAGCTCGCTCCATTTTCGTGATACCGCTGTCCAGGTCACGCTTGTCTCTAGATTTCTGGAACTTCCTGACAAGCATATTTCCAACCTCGCCGATGTAGGCCAGCCGATCCGGATTACTGGCAGTTATACGCTCAAGAGCCTGCTCCGTCTGCTGGATAGCCTGCTCCAGATCACTCAGGCTGCCAGTCCGGTGAGAGCGCGCCTCCAAAAGAACGGCGAGGGTCCGCCTCAGCCGCGCAACAGCATCGTCGTTGGCTAATTCCAATCTCTCGCCAAGCTCAACTGCTTGGGCAGCATACGTGACTGCCCCGTGCCCATCATTTGGATCGCCGCCCCTCTTGAATCGATGGCCGAGCAGGTTTGCGAGGCACGTAAGGCGAAACGGCTTTGTGGGATCAGAGTTTGGTGTCTGGTCCACCACGTGTTCAGCCAGGAGGATGCCAGATCGCAAGTCGTTCACGTCTTGCTTCAGCGTGTACCGTTTCTCGTAGCACATGGCGAGTTTGCTTTGCCGTCGAAGTAGCTGGGACGCCTGGTCCGGGGACGTCAGGGAGATTGCCTCCTTCATTGCGCGGAAGAGGCCGCCAGAATCAAAGAAGAATCCCACTTTGGCGTCACCCCAGTGTTGGGTCTGGCATACGAGAAGATCGGCCAAGGCCTCTTGCTTGTCTGCCGAGCCCGGGTCCTCCTTGGCATCCTCCTGGGCATCCGAGACATCCAGGTGTTCTGTCCAGTGATCGAAGAATCCGAATTTGCGAACATGCTTCGCCCAGTCGTAGTAGGGGAGCGGCGGGTTACGAACTGGCCGTTGGGTTTCCTTCTTCGCCGTCGCAGTCGTAGGCCCGCCCCTCTCGGAAGCCTTGGCGTTCTGGAAAGGTTTGAACATTTTTGATCAACGCGGCCGTTCTGATCGAGGGCGACGATCAGCTGTTGAAGGTCTTGCTACAGTAGTCAGCTCGTGTGCTTCGTTTTGCGCGCTGGTCTGGTGCTCTGAGCTTACTCAGTAAAGGTTTTCCGTAGCAAGTCGCTTGGCACGAAAACTTGAACCTGGAGAGAGAGTTCGGCTTTTTTTTTTCTTAGCCATAATTAAGAGGAATACTCACGGCGGGCGAGAGGGATTATGGGACGAAGCAGAATTAGTAGTCGCTCAGGTGGGCCGTCAGTCCATGTACTGCAGTCAGCTGCATCGGACTGAACCATCGCGATGCTAATAAATGAATCCAGCTCGGGAAGCCTCCGACAGCGGCTTTGTGGTCACGTCGATGTTCACCCGTGTGTAGGCGGCCAGCACAATGTTCAGCCCTGGCAGCCACAGGAAAATATGAGGGAGTGCATTAGTTAGACTGCGCATGTGGTGCCGGATGGCTTGCCGGCTTCCCCTTCAGCTGAAACCTTCGCTGACGAGTCAAATGTCTTCATTGATCCATCACCTCACCGAGTTTCGATTTCTTCGAGGACACTTCCAGTCCCGTTTCGGGTAGAAATACCGGCACAGAATTTACTACTCCGTTCACGTACAAACAGCAAAGCCTCGGCTAACCAGCTACTAGGGTGATGAACACGTCAGTCAGTCATCGGCTGAAGGCCTACGCGGCATTCAACTGACTGGCCAACTACTTTCGGCTTATCAGCCGCTGAATTTACACGCACAGACAATATTTGTATGTAAAAATTTGTAAAAGAAGTATATCTTCACAATTGAACTTTTAAGTACCTTCTACTTTGACTAAGGTGTATAAGAAGAGCTTATACTTATTATATATATATTAGACTTAGGTAATTGTTGATATTTAATATCCCTAAGAGAAAGGAAGCTCAAATCGAGCGTTTTTGGGATAAAATAGGCTAAATTTTAAATTTCTAGCTAATAAGCACTAATCAGCTAGACGATTCTTTAGCTGAATGACTTATTAAATTCTATCGTTCTGGCTAACTGACTGAATAACTGACAACTTATATAATTAAAATCTCATCATCCTAGCAGCTAGTTTGCAAATGATAGTCTCAACGATTCGGTTGCCCCCTAGCATTCATTCCTCTTCGTCTCAATCGGAATCATCCTCTCCAGCGACCTCAAAGATGTCCTGCCCAGCCTCTTCGTTGTCCTCTAGATCAACTTGTAAACCCTCGTCGTCTTCTCCGTCCTCCTCGCCCCTGTTATCTGCCGTGAGAGACCAGCAGTTGTCTTGCTGGAGTTTTGCGGACGCCGCTCTGCTCCCCAAAGGGAAGATGCTAAACTTGACCTTGCGATAGCAGAAGGCGTATACTCGCTCGCCCTGGAGATACGAAGCCCGAGACGTAGTGTGGCCAACCTTGTGCTCAACAGAGCCGCCCACATCCAGATCCAGCATTCCAGGGATAAGCGCGGTCGCTCCATGAGTCACAATGTCCCCCACAGGGACGTCGGTTTTCACTCCGTAGTTAGAGCTCTGTTGAGTGCTGTCAAGTATTGTCGCATCGAGAACAGTGTAGTAGCCGACAACAAAATACACCTTCGTGACCCCGTCCTCGATTGCGTCTTGTAACCACTCCCGCACGGAGTCGCACTTGATGAGATCTTTGAACAGAAGCTTGGGGTTGATGAGCGTGTACTTTCGCACCTCACATGGCCCGAGCCAATTCGTGTTGGACGAGGACTTTCCGAACGAAGTAGACAGAATCTTCGTGACCTTTGCTTTGAAGGTGTTGTCGTTGGATTCCTCCAAGAGCTTGCCCAGGTTCACCTGCGGCTGTACTCGGTAATCCAAGGGCTCAGTCAACTCGGGATAATCCTCACCGGCCTTGTGCCTCGGGGTTGGGAATCCATCTTGTTCTGCTTGCTTCAGGTGTGGGATGAGGGATGCAAGCTGGAACGCCTCGCGAAGAGGTGCAACACCTGGGACGAAGTACTTGCTCATTGTTGTGCTATTAGAGCCCGTGTTTTTCGATGTTGTTTTGTTCTTTGTATGAGATGAATTAGCATCGACGTTGTTCCCCTTGTTCACCAAAGCTGCTGTAAATAAGCAGTTACTTACAAGCTCCCAACCACCCACTCAATACATACAGCCATGTGACAACAACATTGGGCTGCTGGCTCTGATGCCCAGGAATAATGCATGAGTACTGCAGCAATTAAAGACGGCTCGCACGGCTGACGCGGTTACATTGGGGACCAACCATCCACTCAATACGTACAGCCTTGTGACAGCGACATCGGGCTGCTGGCTCTGATGCCCAAGAATAACGCATTACGAGTGCTTCAGCTAATAAAATACGGCTGGCGTGGCTGGCTGAGTAGTTCACATTGGGAACCCGTGCCTGCCGATTGGATATGGACTCTGATCGGGATGTACCTTCGCCTATTTTTTCTAGTTAAGGAGAAATATGCGGACACCGTGCGAAAGGCGCAGACCAACAAGAGACACCCCCTTTTGATACCCTAGAAAGCTGAAACGTTGGATGGTTTGAATTGGGACTAGGACCACAAACAAGCCGAGTCACAATGGTGTCAGATATGCAGTCGATGTATGTAAGTTGGTCAATATTCCGCTGTACTTATTTGCGAGCAGTCGCAAGGCTTCATGTGCAGAAGTTTTTTCCCCTTCACGCAGCCACTCGACATTAAATATCATTTCTCAGTGCCTATCTTTCCATCCACGGTTGCTTGTCTGCTGTACTCGACTCCCCAAACGTCAGCTGCCAGCATCATTGGCAAAGCATCATGGGCAGTGGCGAGTCCAAAGCGGAGAAGCTGCACGCTCAGGGTTGTTACGGAGGAAACGACTTTTTGAAGGATGGCAAACTCGGGAAAATTCAGTTAGCTGTCCGCCTTCTGAGCGAGGCAGTTGACGAGGCGCCACTGGACCACCCGAAACGCGCACTGTTGCTCAGGGACCGAGGCAGCTGGGGCGGATACTTGTATGAACGCAGCGGCAAAGCGCAGGACTTCACAGAGTCAGTCAATGCCTGCGAAGAGGCTATCTCATTGGCAACGCCAGAACACGCGGATCGACCGATCACCTTGATCACATATGGAGACCTCCTCATGAAACAATACCGAAGGGAGAAGGTAGACGCAAATCTCGAGAGGGCGGAAAAGCTATACGAGGAGGCAGTCCGCCTTACACCACCTGGCCACGAGTATCGGATGACCAGTATGCTTTCACTAGGCGATTGTCTCATCTCAAAATTTGAGAAGACAAAAGATATACAAGACATCGACAAGGCCATTAAATGCTGTAAGGATGGCATAGCCGCTACAAAGCCCCCAGACTTGCCAGTCTGGGGCTACTCTGCTCTCAGCGCCTGCTACCAGGCCAAGTATGAGGTGACCAAGGCGCGCAGCGATATCGACGAAGCCGCCAATGCTGCGCGCAAATCTGAGCAGCTCTGTCCCGAACATCCGTATGGTCTCACCGCCCTTGTGAAATGCTGTAGCACCAGTTATAAGCAAACCCAGTCACTCAAGGAAATCAACAGCGCAATTGTCTATGGACAAAAAGCCCTTAAGGCAGCGGGGGGTTTGAATCAGCTCCAGTGGGAAGAGAATATCCGCATCTTGGGTGATCAGTACGACGCAAAATATGCCAAAACTCTGAACGAAGAGGATCTCGATAACTGTATTTACTGTCGCCGGGAACAATCCAAGGTCTTGTGTGACGCAGATCCCGCCCGGGCACATTGTCTTTACCTCCTCTGCGGCTTTCTTTTCAAGAAGTATCAAGCAACAGATAAGCATCAAGCAGCAGAGGCTGTTAAGGTCCTTCTAGAAGCTATCTCAGCGGGAGAGAAAGGCGTCTCGGCCCAGTGGCTTGTGCCCAACGATTCGGAGCGAGTGGCGCTGCTTGACTTATTGTCTTCCTGCTACAATGCTAAGCTTGCAAGGAAGGATCTTGGCAAGGCAAAAGACCTTCAGAAAGCCATCTCTTTCGGTGAGGAGGCTCTTCAGAGAATGGCCCAGGATGATCCGCGTAGGGCAGAGATAGAGAGGAAGGTCAATGCATTGAGGGTGGATGGTTTCTATAAAGAACCCAATAAGTAGTGTGGTATAGCGGAGCGTATTTGTTAGATTTCGTTGATTTTTCAGGGTTTCTTAGCGAGTATCACGTGCGCAAAGTCGGGCTTAGCTCATGTGACTTTACTACGAAAGTTAGACCCTAAACTTATCCTTACTAGCTTTATCTTATATATTTACACCCTATCCTTAATAGTATGAGAAATGAGTAGGATAGAATAGAGTAGAGTAGTAGGCCTTACTTATACTCTACTATAGTAATATAGTTACTATTCTAATTCTATTCTATTTTATTCTAGAATATTCTAGAATATAGATAAATAGCTAGAGTATTAAGATATATAATATAAGTATAAGCGGAAACCCTTATTTTAGGCCTCTTTTTTACTTAAGTAAATAAAGTATATTTCTCTTATATATTATATAATATAAAAGATCCTATTTTATATTTCTTTCTAAATAAATTAAGTAAAAAATATATCTTTTTTATTATATATAACTTATTAGCTCTTAGAGTTTCTAAAGAAAAATATATATTCTATAGAGAATTTTTATAATTAGTAATTAATTTACTTCTTTTATATATAATATAGCCTTTATAAATAAATATATATATATATATATTTGAAATAGTTTTAATTATATATTTATTATTCTATTCTATTCTACTTTATTTTAAAGAAGTATTATTCTAATTCTATTCTATTCTATTTAAAACTATTCTAGAATTATTTAAATAATATAAATATTTTTTTCTTATACTAACTCTTAATATAAAGCTTAAAATCTATCTAATTTCAAGAGTTATATAAATCTAGCTATAGGATTTTAGGTATATAAGATATATAATAGTAAGATAATATATAAATAGTTAAGATAAATAAGCTATAGAGTAATACTTATAAATATAATTAATTTCCAAGAGTTAATTTTAATAAAAGACTAATTAATACTTCTTTCTAAAGCTAGAAGTATCTTCCTATATATTTTCTAGTATTTAGTCAAGTATATAAAGCCTTTTATTTAATTAGGAAATGCGATTTTATATAATTCATATAATTCCAATTATAAGCTTTATCTAAAATAGAAAACTAGATCTATAATATTTAATATTTATCTATATACTATTATATATATCTATTATATTAATTCCTTTTCTAGGCTCTTATTCCTAAAAGGCCTGAGAAAACTACAAATAGCTTTATAAATATTCTCCTGAAACTTTCCTGGCTACTAGCTTTCTCTAAAGACTTTCTATAATTACTCTATTATTATATTAGATAATAGAATTAAGGATATAATTTATTAATTCTATCTAATTAACTTATAAATTACTTCTAATAATTCCCTCTTATAAAAATAATATAAATATAATATATATTATTAGATATAAAGCTTATTCGATTTCTTAATTAGTTTATAAATTCTAATTTAGCCTCTATTTATAAATAAATTATTATTTTATAGGCCTAAAAGCTTAAAAAAATTAATCCGATTTTTTAATTTATTTATAAATTTCTTTTTTAGAAATTTCTGGAAATTTCTAATATAAAGCCGGTTTCGAATTTATAATTACTATTCGGGAAAAAAATAATATAAAAAGGCTTTTCTTTTTCTATTAACTAATCTTCTTTTCCTTTAATTATAATACTATATCTAGCTTTTTTTTATCTCTTATCTTTCTTTTCTAAGCCTTTTTTAAGTCTTTTTTAAGTTCCTTTAAGCTTTTTTCAAGCTTTCTTTTAATTTCTTTTTCTACTTCTTTATTTATTAAGATAAATCCTTCTTTTAGTACTTATTAGCCTATTACTAACTATTTGGCTAATACTTCTATAGTCTTAATTTACTTTTATTATTTTCGATATTTCAAGAATATTACTAAATTTCCCGACCTTATTTATATTAAGAATAATAACTATTTAATATATAATTACTACTATTCTAAGAATAAAAAATATAATTCTATAAATTATAATTTCCTTTTTTAATTCCCTATTCTAATACTATTTAAGGTTCTTTAAATATATATAATATAGTTAAACCGCCTTTTCTAAGCTATAGATATATATAAGTACCTTATCTAGTCTTTACCCAAAAGAGAAAAGGCTATTACTACTTTTCTTTTATATTAAACTTTATATACTTCTTATATTAAAGCTATTATTTAAAGCTAACAGATTTCTTTAATAATCTAAGAAATAGATTAAGTAATTCTTATTAGCTTAATATAAATATAAAGTATTCTTAAAAATATAATTAATATTCTTTAGTATTAAATAAGTTTATTTTCTCTTTATTTTTTACTAATAGCTAATAGCTTTCTGGGCCAATTTACTATCTATTTTTCGAGAGAATTCTAATAAAAATAATAAGAAGAATAATAGAAAGTAGTTATAAAAATAGAATATTTATAGAATATAGAAATTAAAGTTTTTAGAGTTTTTAATAATTTTTATATAGTTTTTCTAAAAATAAATATATGGTTTTTAATAGTTTTCTAATAAAAGTATTTATTTTTTATATCTCTATTTAGCTAATAGTATTATAATATTACTCTTTTCCAAATATTCTTATAATTCTTAAGCTATATTCTCTAGATTACTTAATAGTTCTTATATATTATCTACTAGTAAATAGCTCTTCTAATAAATGAAATATTCTCTTTTTTTTCTGCCCTTTTTATAGGCTATAATAGATTTTATCTCGAATTCCTTTTTATTTTTAATCTTAACTAGTTCTGGTTCTACTATAGTATTAGCTTATAGGTATTATGGTTTTAAGAGAGAAATATAAAAAATATTATAGATCTAATATAATAATAGTAATTTCAAATAATATATCTATTTATATATTTTTATAATTTCTAGAACTTTAAAGAAGCCGAGATATCTATTTACTAGCTTTATATTAGGTTATAGCTATCGAATATTTTTTATATAAAGTATAACTTTATTATATATTTTAAACTCTTTATTAATATATTTTTTATTATAGTACTTTTTCTATATATTTACTACTTTTTACTATTACTTCTCTAGTACTTTCTATTCTATTTGAATTCTTTATATTCTTTTCTATATTACCGGTATTTCTTTTTTTAGAATATTATTCTTAATATATAGTTTAATACTAGAATAGAATCTATATAATATATAAAATAGAAATATTTCTATTATTAAATATATAGAGTTATTATATATAAATTCTATAAAAGTAAGCTTTATTACCTAGTTATTTTATTAATAGCTAATATAATACCTTAAATATTATTCTAGAGTTTGGATTGGATTCTCTATTTATTTATTAGTTTATAAATAGAATATTATATTTAACTATTATTAAATCTTTAAATAAAAATACAGATTTAACTAAAACTTATTTATAAAAACAGATCCTCTATTAGAGATTATATCTGTAGGTATACTAAAGCCTTTAATAATATAATATATAAATAGCTCTACTAGCTCAGGAATTGAGATCTCTTTAATAATCGGAATATATTATATTATTTTCGTATATTTATTAATAATAATAAGTATAGAATTATATATATTATTATAAAATCTAGAAAAAAACAGTCCCGTAATAAAGTTTATAGTAATTTCTTGTTATAGCTTAGAGGAGATAGGAAATAAACTAAATATATTATATAGTAAATATCTTTTTACCTTAGTCTATTAATATATAAGATAAGTTCTAATATAGTCTTTTATATTCTTTCTTATATTTTACTAGAAATACTTTCTCTAAAGAATTTCTAGTATTTTACTAGCTCCAAAATACCTATTTATAGAATTATTATAGTTAGCTTATAGTAATTTTTCTTTAAGAGCCGGCTTATTTAATATATAGATAGTATTTTAATATCTTAATAATCTAGATATATTAAGTTCCCAAATCTTAATAGCTCTAATAAAAGTCTCTTTTAAGAACTATTTATATTACTGGTATTATATTAATAGATCGAGTCTTTAATACTATAATAGTAGTTCAAGTAATATCTTTCTGCTTTTTTTATATATTATTTCAGATCTAGTTATCTATATAGCTAAAATCCGTAATATATACTATTTATAACTAGTTATACTAATAATAGACTCAAATAGTAATATTTCTGGTATTATTCTATTACTAAAATAGATTTCCTCTTCGGAATTCTTTAGTATTTTATTAATTAAAAAGTATTTATCTTTTTTCTTTTGGGCCTTATATTATAATATTATAAAAATAGTATAGTATTTTATTACTACTACTTATAGAACTCTCTATTCTATATTCTATAGCTTATTATAAAATATAAATAGTAAAATATCTTTATCTATATTTATTATAAAGTCTAGCCTCCTTAATAGTCTATTAGCGGAATTATTATATTCCGGCCGGTATTTTAAAACGAAATTAAAAGCAGCCAGCTCTTTTATCTATTTTATCTATTAACCATTTAGTTTTCTTTTAATTATAAAATATTTTAAGTTATTATAATCTATTTTAATAATAATAATATACCGAATATATATTAGATAATACTACTAAGTATAGAATACTAGAATAATAGCCAAAAATTCAGAATTATATATCTTATATCTATTTTTAATTATAGTTATCTTTTTTAAATAAAAGATAATAGGATATTATCTGGCTTCTATCTCTTTACTAAAAAGCTGGGAAATTATATCTATAATTATAAATCCTGAAATATTCGTTTCTATATAAATTTTTAAAACTAGATTAAAATAATAAAAAATTAATACTATTATAAATATAATTTTCAGCTCCCTAAAAACCTTATCTGCTTTATTCGTTTAGCTAAAATAATATTACGGTTTTTTATTAGTTTTTAATAAATTAGTTAATTCTTTTATTATCCTAAAATATCTATAAATAAATCTCTAGTAAAAGTTAATAAAACCCAAAAATACTTGGATTTTCCGGATATTATTTTTCGGGGCCAGCTATTTCCTAATAACTATAATCCGGCTAGCTTCTATTTCTATACTATCTGGGCTAATTATAAATCCCAGGAATTCTATCTTTTCTATATAAAACTTATGTTTTATTAAGTTTATAAAAAGCTAGTATTATTATAATTACTCGAATATATATTAGACTACTACTATATACTATTCTAGGTTCTCTAAATAAATTAAAATATTATTTAAATAAACTATATAAATAATATCTATAAGGCTTACTAATATATAGTTAATATATACCTGAAATATTACTAGAATATTAGAGAGTTTAAAAGATATAATATAATATTTAAAATATTTATAGTATATTCGAAATACCGTTTTCTATTTATTGCCTTTCCGGATTTATAACTAATATTAAGTATCTTTCAAATCTAGCTTTATATATATCTTTACTTTATAAAGCCTATCTATTATCTTACTAATAAGTAGTAATAGTATTCGGTTCTTAATAGTAATTCTATTTAGACTCTAATAATTAATATAGAAATATAGGCTGCCTTCTTTCTTTAAAACAAATATAATTGGAATATTAGCTAGGCTAATAGAATAATAGATTTATTTCTTTTTCAAGCTAGTATTAAAATATTCCCGAAGAATTTCAAGCTCTCTTTCTAATAAAATATATATAGAACTATATAGTAATTGGAATCCTGGTTTCAGATTTATATAATACTCTATTATATAATAGTTAAATAATATATTTATAGCCTTTATTGAGAATACTTGAAAAAGGTTTTAATACTTCTTGAAAAATATAGCTATTCTATTTATAATAATAGTAATAATTCTTTAGTTATCTATTATAGGATAGGTAATTAATAGAAAAACATATATTTTATACTTTACTACTTTAGTAAACTTCCTAGTATTTAGAACTTCAATTTTCTATAGTCAAATCTAATATTTCTATATTATTTCCCTAAAGGAAATCAGGGAATTAACCTAGTAAAGCTATAGAAATTCAAGTATTAGATTAATATAGTTTAGATTAAAATTATATAATATAAAATATATATTAGCCTTTTTTCGGTTTCCTAGTATATCCTCGGTAATAATTCCAAGAATATAATTTCTATATAAATAGATCCTGGTTTCCTCTAGTAAAATTAAGAGAGTTATTCTTAATATTAACGGAATTCCCATATTTAAAACTAGTTTTCTCTTTATATAATTAGCTTCTATACCCGAATTAACTAATATTCTAATCCTATACTTATCTTTTCTTATTTTAATAATAATCTCAATTACTATTCTCGTTTCAGGAGCTTTGCCCTCTATAATATAAACGAGTATAACTATTATAAAGTATAACTATTTCCCGTCTTTTTTGGTTCTAAGTACTTATATACTTTATAGCTAGACTTATTATAGTTATAGCAAGTCGGTTTTCCCCGATTTGGGCAGGTAGTAATATAGTAACTCTTTTTTTAGTAGATAAAGTAAATTATATCCGATCTTATAGATTTCAATACGGATACTATATTAGACCCTATTATTATACCTTTACTATTCCGGTTATATAAATCCTATAACGGAAATATACTTCTTTTTTGCTTCTTTTTATTATCTCCTTTTTCTTTTTTCTAATTTCCTTTCTTTTATTATTCTATTAGCTTATTATTATATTTCTATTAAGTAAATAGATTCAAGTTATTCTCGACTCTTATAGCTATAGAGATAAGCTTTTCCCTTTTTTATAGAGTATTTCCTTAATAATTAATCTTGTTTCGAATCTTCTATCTCAAGCTATTAAATAAGTCGTTTTGCTTTTATAGTAAACCTATATATCCCAAATTATCTAATAGGCTATCCAAGTAAGATATAAAGCTTTAAATACTCTAACTTGGCTATTATTTTATATTCTTGAATTTGGTAAGGATATTATTACTATAGTTCTCCGAATCCAAAATAGAATTCTTTATAAATTTAATAAAGGTTTCCTAATCTATAATATTAATATCTACTAATTGCTTTCTATATTTCCAGATATCTCTGGCTATATTCTTAAAACAGAAAATATAATATATAACTTTTATTATATTTATAGCCCAGGTAATTCTATTATTTTTATACTATTTTAGTTCTATCTAGTAAAAGAAGTCCTGAGCTTCTTTAATACTCTTTCTCTTATAAGTTAGTAATTCTCGGATTTTCGGAGTTCTATAAATCAAATATACCGCCGGTAATATAATAGGTTCTATAATGAGTATTCGAATATTCTCAAGATAATAAATTTGAGCTTCTAGCTTTTCCAGATCCCCCCTTTATTATATCTCCGCTTCTAATTCAGTAATATAATAACAAGCCGCCGCCAGCTTCTCCGTTATCGTCATCTTACCAGCTGGTTCTGGTAGTATCTGAGTCCCATTTCCTTCTCCTGATTGGACGGTACCAAGAGTACCTAACTGGGCGCTCCCCTGGATACCCGACTGGATCGCCCCAGTAATAGCAGAGGCGCTTCTTCTGGTTAATACTCCAGCCATTAATAATTTTGTCTATTAACGGCTTGAATACCTCATAACGAACTGCTCCCCGAAGGTTGGATCGATTAGAATATAAGGCACGTAATAGTAGGGTAATATACAAGTAGTTAAGGTAAGTAAGCTGCAGAGTAACGCTTACAAGTATAGCTGATTTCCAAAAGTTGATTCCAATAAAAGACTAACCGATACCCCTTTCCAAAGCTAGGAGCGTCTCCCTATATATTCCCTAGTACTTAGCCAAGCATGCGAAGCCCTTTACTTAATTAGGAAACGCGATCCCATGCGATCCGTACGATTCCGATCGCAAGCTTTACCCAAAATAGGAAACTAGATCCACAACATCTGACACCTGTCCATGCGCCATCACGTGTGCCCATCACAAGGCGGTAGGAAGAAAGGGGGAAGTGTAGGCGAGGATAAATGTGTTTATTAATACCTACCTTATCCTAAGCCTTAATATAATCCCACGACACGCAAAGCTTCCTCACACTTCTCAGTCGATGGTAGCGGGACCGCACCTCTGAGAGAGAAAGAGGACGAGCCGTTTTATATTTTTATATCCAGCGTCGGAACGGGAGGCAGCAGTTTGAATAGAGAGTAGAGAATTAGGGAAGACGGTGAGTGAGGCGACTGTAGGCAAACAAACTCTCTGCTAATGGAGTGTACCATATAGAAGGATTGGAATTTGTTGGGGACGTGTAGATGCTAGATGGATATATGAAAGTGCCTATCCCGCGTGTGCCGAGAAAGCAAGCCGTTAACTAACTTCTACTGTTTTGCAACAACATCGTGATTAAAGCGGTAGGTATTCTGCCGTCCGATCAAATCATCAAAGTCAAGCCGGGTTCTTGATATAACTTCGACTTCCTCGATTTTCCCTTATTTTTTCTGGCCTTTTATATCGGTATACTTCGCTATAGCAAGACCTCTACTACTTAGGATGTTAGAATTGGTGAACTGAGCATTGATTGTTGCTGTCTAGACGGGTGCAAAGCACCTATTATATGCACCTGCATGAAGCAGGTAGCTGGGCAAGAGGCTGGGCTGCACTTCTGGCATAGCATTCAATTGCCTATGTGGCTACAACTTAAACGCTTTACTAATATCGGTTTCTCCTCCTCCGGTTCGATGGGCCGCGGCCCACGAATGCAGGAGCAGCTCCTTCTGTAGTAAGAATTTCACGATAGCGTCATGGCCATTCCACCCAGCCCACGATATAGGCGTGCGACCTTTTGGATCCTCCGTCTCCAAGTTCGCACCGCTCTCCACTAGCAGTTGTACAGCATCCATGTATCCATTCCTTGCTGCAAGCAACAGTGGTGCTTGGCCTTTGCCGTCCTTTAACTCTGGATCGGCGCCATTCTCGAGCAGCACCTTCACTGCGTCCGCCTCGTTTCGAACAGCCAAGATTAATGATGTTTCGCCATCTTCGGCACCTAAGTTGGGGTCGGCGCCTCTCTCGAGCAGCAACTGTAAGACAGCCACACTCTGGTAATGTTGTGTGGCCATGCACAACGGTGTCCGCCCGCGCTCATCCACAGATTTTACATAGGCACCTGCATCGAGCAGTGTCCTTATCGCAGCCTCTTTGTCTCCACCATTCCCAAAATTCTCCGCCGCTAAAAAGAGGGGAGTTCGACCGTAAGAATCCTTGGTTTCTAACTCGGCACCCCTCTCGAGGAGCAGCTTGATTATAGCCTCGTAGCCCTCATTGGCCGCGATGGACAATGGCGTCTGATCATAATACTTATTCTTGGACTCCAGTGCGGCGCCCTTGTCGAGAAGCATTTTAGCCATATGCAGCTTGCCATTTTTGACGGCGTGCGACAACGGAGACTGGGTGAGCGGGCTATTTGGCTCGGCGTCCGCGCCTTTCTCGAGGAGAATCTTTACTGCAACTTCGTGCCCCGCCTCGGCCGCGCGATATAGAGGGGTCTCACCATCGTAGTGCTTCCCTTTAAAGTCCACGGGGGCGCCCTTGACTAACAGCATCCTCACTGCTGCCTCGTTCCCACTGGCCGCGGCCGCCTGAAGAGGAGTACGATCGGTCCAAGACCCGACCATGTTGAGATCAGCACCCCTCTCCAGTAGTACCCCCATCACCGCAGCGTGGCCACCTTTAGCAGCGAGCAATAACGGTGTCTCACGATGCTTTGATCTCGGGTCGGGATCGGCACCTCCCTCGAGAAGCATACATACCACGTTGAACCGACCTTCCTTTGCCGCTCGACATAGTGGCGTGTAGCTATTCCAACTATCTTTTGCATCAAGCTCGGCACCTGCAGCGAGAAGCTTTGCCACTACAATTTCGTGCCCCTTTTCAGCGGCCCAGTACAGCGGAGTCCGACCCTCTGCATCCCGCGAATCCGGAATGGCTCTTTCCTCGAGGAGCAGAGCAACTACTAGAGCTTGTCCCTTCTCGGCTGCCCACGACGGCGGGGTCCGGCCATATTTGTCCTTTCGCTCCATATCAGCACCGTTCTTAAGCAAAAGACTAACCACCGCCATGTCTCCGTTCTCGGCAGCCCACGATAGCGGTGTACGGCCATTTTTACCGGACGAGTCCGGCTTGGCGCCCTTCGCTAAGGGTAATTCCACGATCTCATGCCTTCCTTTCTGTGCTGCCCACGAGAGCGGCGTCCAGCCTTCGTAGTCGGACGAGTCCCATTGGACATGCCATCTTGATAATAGAATTTTTACTGCTGTCTCGTGCCCAAACTCGGCCGCCCACGAGAGTACTGTACGGCCATACCTATCCTTGGATTCCTTCTTCGTTTCTGTTGCGACTGTTTGGTCGATCAACTGCTTTGCCACCGCCCTATGGTTCCCATTCTTAGCCCACCAGAGCGCGGTATGACCACTCTTCTCTGTCTTCCAGCTGTCAAGCACATAGCTATCATCTCGTTCTTTTGGCTGCTGGTCTGCTCCCTTCTCCAGGAGTAGCTCCACAACTGCTGTGTGTCCCTCTGCAGCTGCCCATAGCAGCGGCATTCGGGAAACCTTGTCTTTCGATTCCAGGTCGGCCCCTTTCTCAAGCAGCAGCGCCGCGACGGCCGTGTGTCCATTCCTCGCGGCCCAGGACAATGGAGTCTGATCTCCGTCGACGTACCCAATAGTCTCGACTGATTTCCAGCTATCGTATCGATCCTTGGGCTCGAGTGTCGCGCCTCTGTCTAGCAGCACCTCAACAACGTCTTGTACCCATTCGCAGCAGCCCACAGTAGCGGGCACTGGCCGATAGGACCCGGCCTGTTTGGGTCGCCTCCGTCTTCCAGGAGTGCCTCTACCACAGCCGCGTGTCGTTCCGTGACCGCCCACCACAGCAGTGCGTCTCGGTCGCTCTTGGGAAACGCAGGGCCGACGATCTTCTCGTTGAGTAAGTCTACAACGGCTTCGAACCCTTTGTATTTGGTCTGTGAAAGAGCCGTCTCGCCGTCTTGATTCGCGTGCTCGATGTCGGCATCTGCCTTTACCAGCAGCTCCGCAACAGCAGCATGCCCGTTCGTGGCCGCCCACCAGAGGGGAGTCCTGCCGTTGGCGTCTTCGAGGTCGACATCAGCACCGTTCTTGAGCAGAAGCTCCGCGACGGCTTCGTGCCCAAATTCAGCCGCCACCGACAAAGGCGTTCGATCGCCATGGTCGCATGGGTCGGGATCGGCGCCGTACTTCGCCAGGATGGACCGTAATTCCTGTTTCGGACCATATCGCGAAGCGCGGTACAATGGTGTCCAGGAACTTCCATCTTTGGACTCGGCCTTCGCTTCCAGCGCGACTGCCTTCTCAAACAGCAACTGTACTGAGGCCCACAGCTAGCTAGCGGACAAATCCGAGAAGCGAAAAGTGATTTTCTGATTTTCTGATTTTCCGTTCGTCGGAATGATAACAACGCAATAGGTTCGGCTTTCAGTGCACACCCACGATATGGGGATTAATCCTTAAGACGGAACCCCTCCTCCCCCCCCCACGCCCCGCGGTCACGGATAATTACTATTAACAGGGTCTAATAACTTCCTTAATATTCCCGAGGTTAGAAATAAGAAAATTAAACTATTAAAATAACTAAGAAGCCGGCTAATTACTTTTTTTTGGTAATTAATTAACAAAATCATATAGGGGTAACGTTACTCGAGTTTTTTAGTACTTATATTACTAGAAAGTATATTATAATAGTAAAGCATACCCTGAACTTAATCTCTATTAAAATAACTTAATAGATTTTATTAAAATAATACTATAATTTTTAATAAATCTATTACTATATTACAAAGCTATTACTAAATAGGCTTATATAAATATTAATTAAGAAAAAATTGCGAATAGATTAAAAGATTTATATAAAATCTCAGTTAATCCATATATAGTCCGACGGCGACTATAAGAATAGAATATTCAAATATATACTTAAATAGTAGATATGCCTTTCCTTTATATATAGATTATAATCCTGTATTATCTGGGAGATATAGATAAGGAAATACTTAAGGATCTTAAGAATTATAATTATATAGCTTTAATTACTAGAGTTATTTATATATATAAGAAGCTTAGTCTCATTTGCCATATAACTATAATAGACAGGTAAGCGGCAGACAAGTAACTATTTATAATACTATAAAGTAAGCTAAATAATAGGCGGGTTATAGATTATAGATAATAGTATTTATATATATACTTCCATTAATAAGGTTTACTAGTAACCCGGTTAGTCTTTCTATATTTTACTATTTTGCCCTAGCTTAGAAGATTAGAGCCTTATTTACTAATGTATTTTATTATCTATAAAGAGAGCTTATATATAATATTACGATTCCTGGATCCCAAGGTAATTATATTATAAATATAATAGATATAGTTCAAGAAGGGAGAATATATTATACCTAGGCCGGACTAGATTTAGTTAATTAATAAATATAATAAGCTATTACTATTTGGGATTAAGATATATACTTATATTAATACTTATTTATATAATATTATCTGGATATATATCGGAATCTCTAATCAGACTACCTATTCGGTTATATAATAGTATCTTCAGATTTATATTTAAATAGGCTACTGTTTTTACTTCTTTAGGGCTAATCGAGGCTCTAAATTCCCTCTTATTACCGAAGTATACTTTATATTCTTATAGATAGCCAATCTATTAGTTATATATATAGAAGACTACTTTATTTCTGGGAAAAGTACCGAGAATTAGTAGATTAAATCCTGGTAGTAGGAGCTTTAGAAAAGCCAGCTATACCGGTAGTATATAAGTAATTTCGTTTCCCTATATCTGCCCCTTATTCTTTCTATTATTAGGAGGAAGTATTAGATACTAATAATTATATTACTTTTTATTAAGGCTATTAGGTCTAGTATTATAGTACCGGATTATATAACTAATTCCGATTAGTATATATAGAACTATTTTTAGGAACTGGCCTATACCGGGAATTATAATTACTAATACCTATAGGACCGGATTACTTTACTAGTATTTTATATATAGTAGATCCAAAACGAGATATATAGGTTTATAGACTTGTAAAATATTTACAGGATTAGAAAAGACAGATCTAGGCCTAATATAGTAGCCGGCAAGCCATTTAGACTATATACGAGGCCCTTAGGCAGGATATAGTACTGGGGTTACTTTATAGATATAGAGCTTTATAATATAATTCTTAATAATTACTTAGTTTGGGGTAAGTAATATAATCTTATATAGTTTTATACGAATAGTTTACTTATATACTAATATAAATATTAACGAGTTTCTATCGAGAGAAATACTAAAGTAGTATTATTAGAAGCTTATATTTTATAGTATAAATATAGCTAATATTTATATAAGAAATACTAATAGAAATAGTAACCGACTATATATTTAAGCTTATTACTAGCTCTAATATATAATCCGAATATATATAGCCTCAGGATAGCTACTAATATTAGGAAAGTCCGAGAAGCTAACTAGTAGATATAATATTACTATTATACGGAATAGGATTCTCAAGTAAGTTATTCTAATAAATATAAAGTATATAAATAATATATAGGCCAGAAGAATACTCGTATAGTTCCTAATAGTTCAGGACTTTATTTAGAAATAGCCCTTTATTAGTAATATTTCTAATAATATAGGATAATTAAATAAGCCGGTTATAAAATAACTAGATATATTAAAATAGGTATTATTTATTATTAAATATATTATTTTCGAAACCCCCTTCTTACTTTTAAGAGTAATACTAATAGAATTATTAAGTTTATCTACTATATAAATATTCTATATCCTCAAATTCTTATCTCTTAAAATAATACTACTGTTTCTTAAAACCTGCCCTAATACTATATGCCCTATAGCCAAATACTAGTATAGTAATATCTAATATTACAAGTTCTATTAATTTACTAATAATAAATATAATATAGAAACTATTACTTTACTTATCCAGAGTAATAATACTAATAAATTTAAATCTTATAACTCTAGAATTCCATCCGTATCTGCTTTCCTCTTTATACCTGAAATACTTTAGATCCCTAGCTTTTCTTAGTATTCTTATTCCGTATCTTTTCTTCTAGGAATATCTACTATATCTATTCCTCTAGTTACTATTACTATATAGCTGCCAGATACTAGTTCTACTTTATCCCAGGCTTCTCCTGCTCTAATAGCCCTATAACTACTCTTTTCCGTATTTCCTTTTACTATAAGCCATATTACTCGACCTAATTACTCTTCTAGTAATACTTATACTACTATATAAGCTTAATAGGCTATAAATACGAGAGTTATTCAGGCTACTACCTAGGCCATAGCTCCTTATACCGGTAATAGGCTACCTGAAGCCCTTTAAGGTCTTATAAATTAAAATATGGCCGGATCTAATCTTATAAAATTATAGATTATAGTTTTATAGCTAGTTCTCTATAAATAGGCATTTAATAATATAAAGAATTAGAGAGCTAAGTAAAGAACTATTTAACTTTCTAAAGAAATCAGTAATAAGTTTTCTCTTATTTCTTTTACTAGATTCTCTATACGAATTCTAATAGATATTTTTTAATAAGTAGCTTTTAATTTAAAATAAATAATTAAGTCTTTTCTATTCTTTCTAATATAGTTTCTTAGTAGCTATTCCCTTATTTCTCTTTCTATATTAGCAGACTTATCTACTATTATTAATTTATTAATAATATAAATAAACTAGTATTCTATACTAGTCCTAATAATAAAAGAGCCCAGGAACTTATAGTCTTACCAGGTTCTATTTAAACTATCTTTAATCTTTCCCGCTATAATATATATCTGGGCCCTAAGAATATCTGGATAATTTTCCTTATTTTATACTAGGATAAGACTTTATATAAAGATATCTGTCTTGAAATTATTTATAAAAAGCTAGAAAATACTCAGAAAAAGATTCTATATAAAGATCTCTATTTTAAAATTATTTATAAAGAGCTAGAAAATACTTAGAAGATATAGTAATTTGAGGAGATTAAATAATAGACTAAAGAAGCCTAGAAAGCCTAGGAAAGTATTACTTACTAGTATAAGTATAAGACTTTGAGAATAAGAAGAGATCTAATAAACCAGTAGATAAATAAAAATATATATATAATTCTCTCTTTTAATTCTGGCTCTTATTCTTTATTTTTTCTATAGATCCTTTTTTGTTTTTAGGTTTAATTAACTTATATATATCAGGATTCTTTTCTATTTACTAACCTCTAAAAGCTATAAGATAATACGGAAAGTACTACTAAAAGTACTACTAAAGCTAATCCCAATAGTAATAATAATAATAATAGTAGTAGGCTATTAGATCCTCTTTTAATTTTACTATTCTTTTTTCTAGTAAAGGGAACTATAGTTAATCTTATAAACCATATAAGTATTATTCTATAGTAATGGGTATATTAGAGATATAAATATATTACCCCTCTTCCTTATTAGATATAGAGAATTAATAAGTATAATGTTTTTAGCTTTATAGGTAAAACCTAAGGTATCCGGGCTACTACTAGTACTTTACCTATTACCCCGGACAGAAGTCTAACTATTATTATTAAATTCCCTAGGCTAATTAACCTTATTTCTTCTAAGTAAACCTATTATATAAGGTCTAATAAATTATATATAAATATCCGCCGAAGTTAAGGTAATTAAGAAAAAATAGGCCTAATATCTAATATACTTTTTCCTATATTTTATAATTAGCTTAGTACTATTTTAGGTCTTATTTCCTTATAGATATATATATACTTGGAATTTATAATTAATACTTTAAAGTAATATTCTTTAATTAGTTCTTATATAATTTAAAAGTCAGGCTACTAAATTCAATACTTTTATAATACTTAAATCTATCCAAGTTTATAAAGTCTTATAATTATTAAGGCCTTTATAATTCTTTGCCTTTTGAGTTTAATACCCAAATAATATTATATACTCTACCTTTAGTATAGAGGAGGCTTCTAAAAGTCTAGGGTTATAAAGGGATTTTTATATTAAGGATATATTAAGGATATATTAAGAATATATTATATTATAATAATGAAATTACAGGTATTTATATATAGATATATAATATATTAGACTAGCTATACTAAAAACCATACTATATCTATATATAAAGTTACTAATTACTTTATATTAATACCGGACCCGTATAGTTATATAACTCTATATAATTAGCTAGCTATAGAAAAGCCCCAAAGCCCGAAACTTACGAAAAGTCTTAAGGGCTTTAGGGCTTCCGGACTATTACTAGTATCCGGTACTCTTTAGGAAAAGAGTATAATATATTCTATAATAGGTAACCTATTATAGACTACTTAATCTTTAAGTTAAACGGGAAATCTGAGGGCCGGACTTATAATTCAAGTCTTATTAAGGTTATTAAAGTCTTTACTAGCCAGTATTATAGATTTAATAAAAATATTACAGGAATCCTATAAGTTCTATCCTAATCTATCTAGAAAGTATATATAGTATATTTCCTTATTTATTCTAATATTTATATATAATTCCTAAAAGCCAAACTATTATCTAAGAAAGAAGTAAGAAGGCTAGACTAATATTTTTAAAAACTAAAGCCTTAATAAGTCTATCTAGAAAAGCTTATTAATTCTTCTAAAGATAATCCAAGAAAAGTTTGAGTTTATTATATATTATAACTTATATAACCAGAGATAGGAATTACTCTAATAGGCCAAAAAGAGTTTCTTATATGGCTTACTTATATAATTAGAGACAGGAACTTGAGTTTATTATATAGAATTACCTATATATAGAGACTCCTACTATAAACTCCTTATTTGGATTAATTAGTTAAACCTATTTTTAATACTAAGTCTTTATTAAGGCAACTTCCTGCTCCTAGAGGCTTTAAATAAAGTAGCTAATAAGTTTCTTAGCTATTAGCCAAGACTTATTAGCTAGAAAATCTATAAGTAATAGATAAGATTATAAAACAGAATTCCCCTAACTATAATACCAAGACGTTTTACTATAATATAAAGTAATTAGATATAGAAGCCCTATTAAATATAATATATCTTAAACTACAAGTTTGCAAAATAGGTATAAAAAGTCTTAGTACTTAACTAGTACTATAGTCTAGCCCAAAAGCACCTGCTATCCTTTATATCTAATTTAATAGAAATAAGAAATACCTATATTTTAACTCAAAAGATAATTAGGACTTTTATATAGACTTAGGGTAGCAGTTTACTCTATAGAAAAAGAATAGACTAGAAATATTTATACTATATTAATTTTTGGAAGAAGTTATAATAAATACTATAATTCCTGAAATATTCTCAAGAAAGCTTCCCTAAACTAAAGTAGGCTAGTTTATAATTCCGAAAGATCTATAGGAGTTTTATATATCCGAGAATACAAGTACTTAAGGTAAATACTATTTAAGTTCTAACCTATAATAAAAGGAAAGTAAAATATATAAAACAAAATATATAAAGTAAAAGTAAAATAAAATACCCGGATATTTAATAAATAGAAAGCCTAACTATAGGTTATAAGAACTAGTACTAACTAGATATATATATAGTAATATTAAAGGAAAGATAAGGCAAGGAGAACTAAAAAGTAAGTTAGTATATATTCTATAAAAGCAAACGGGAAGATATCTAAATAGCCTAAAAGCAAGAAGTATATATTAAAGAAGTCGAGATTAGAGAGAAAAGAGCTATTTCCTATAAGAATAAGTTAGTATATATTCCAAGATAAAGAATAGAAATATTTAATAATAGCCCAAAGGCTTTTATAAGTATTAAAGAAGGAAAGAAGATATTAAAGTTCGGAGAAATCTAAATAGGAATTAGCCTCTTTTTTAGAAATTTGAGAGAGAATATTTCTAAAGGGCCCAAAGATATAAGAGATATCGGAAAAGGGAAGAAGAAGATATTAGAAAAAGGAAAGAGAGATCTAAAATTTAGCTTTCTAAGAAGTAAGTAGGTTAAAGACTTATAGTATAGAAGTTCTAGATAAAAGTAATCCGGAAGTAGTAATTAGGTACTAGCTTTTGGTATTATTAGTAGAAGTATTAAAGGAGAAGAGGTTCGGAGAAGGGGTTTAGAGGGATTCGGAGGAGGAGAGAAAGGTTATAAGGCAATTAGATACTAGCTCTTAATATTAATAGAAGAAGTATTAAAGGAAAAGGGGTTCGGAAAAGGGGTTCGGAAGAGGGATTTAGAGAAGGGGTAAGGAGAAGTAAAAAGGAAAAGAGGAAGGTTATAAGATAGTCAAATACTAGTTCTTAGTATTAATAGAGGTATTAATAAAGATATTAATAAAGATATTAATAGAGAAGATATTAGTAGAGAATAGAAGCTTTTAGTATTAATAGTAAAATTAAAAAAATATAGAAGAAGAATAAAGGTTTTAGAATAAAAATAGAATAGAATTATAGTTTTATAGAAAATAAAATTACTAGTATAAGGTAATTATATTATTATATAATTCTATATTTACTTTTACTATTTATTAAGAATATATACTTCTTAGGAGAAAGTATTATTTAGAATTCTTAAGCCTCTCTAATTTAATAACTATATATTTAAAAAATAAGAAATAAATATAATTATATATACTAGAATAAGAGAATTTTTCTTATTCAAAAATTATAATTATAGTATTACTAAATATAGAAATATAGAAATTTATATAATAAGCTATATATAGAGATTTAAGGAGATTTAAATTACCTCGAATTATTTATAATTAGTAAAGTAAATTAGCTAACTATATAGGTCGAATATAGTTTAATTATTATTAGTATACCTTAGCTTTTATAAGTTAGTAAGAGAAAGAATATTTATATCTTTATTTTTATAATTATAATACCTAAAATTATAATTTTTTTAATATTTAAATATATTTAATCTAGGGCTATTAAATACTAATATTTCTATTTTCAGGTATTATTTATTATAAATTTATTCGGATTTAAATAATTATATTAAATATATATCTTTATATCCTAAAAATAAATAATAAAAATATAGCTATACTAGCTTTAACCTTAGCCTTAATCTTAACCTTAACCTCCTTCCGAAAACAACTTTGATTCTAATATATAATACTATTATTAAAGCTTTCCTTTATTAAAGATATATTAAATATGGCTTCAGGTAGCGGCTCTAGTAAAGGCAAAAGTAGTAAAAAAAATAATAAAGCTATAAATAAATAGAAAGATAATATTTATAATATATTCTCTAATAATCCAGACTTAGTCTATAATATCCTCTCCTATTAATATGTTTAACTAATAAATCCCTCTATTCCTTGACCTCCTTATATATAATTTCTTTCTTTTTCTCTATAATAATACTTTAATTTCCTTATACTATCTAATAATACTACTAAAGTAGTAAAGTGAATTAATAATAAGGCTAAAGTTAGAGAGATAGAGCTATACTAGGGCAGGGAGCTAAAGAAATTAGAGAAAGGTAAGGCAAATCTAGAGGCAAGCTTAATATATACTTGCGGAACCGAATTCTCTTAAGCTTATACTACTTATAGTAATAAAAAAAGACTAAGGGGCCCTTTCAAATACTATATAGTTATGGAAGGCGAATTTAATAGTACTTATATAAATTACAGATATAATAATAATAGTAAAGTCTGTACTTTCCATTAATTTAATACTAATCCTACTAAGTCTGGAAAGCCTCGCTCCGTATCTGCAAAATTCTTTATACCAAAGCCTCGACCGCCTATAAGATATAGAAAGCGAGTATAAAGACAGATACAAGGTCAGAAGGCAATAGGGAAGGAGGTTATAGCAGAGGAGGGTAAGGATACTAGAGGAGAAGGGAACGAAGGAGATATAGATAATTCGAGTAATATAGGCAGTACGGAGGATATAGAGAATAAGGGAGATGGAGATATACCTCGTAATCCATGGGATTTGCCTTACGGACCACGCAAGCTAAGGGGGGGTTAGGAGTAGTCGAGAATAAGGCGTGTATGCTATACTTTTTTTTTTTAGTGAGGTGTGGTGGGGCGAAAATCAGAAAATCAGAAAATCAGAAAATCAGAAAATCACTTTTCGCTTCTCGGATTTGTCCGCTAGCCCGCTAATGGCCTCAGTAAACTGCGCCACTGCGGCATGTCCATTCGCAGCTGCCCATGCCAATGGCGTCCGGCCCTGAACATCTTGGGCCTCTGAATCGGCATCCCTCTCCAGCAGCTCCCGCACCACGGCTGCGTTTCCGCCGCTGGTGGCCCACATAAGAGCCGTGCGACCACCCGCGTCTCGGGACTCCAGGTCGGCTCCGTGCTCAACCAGCACCAGCATCGATGCCACGTGACCATTGCCGGCCGCCCACGAGAGGGCTGATCTCCCACGCGCATCCTCAGCCTCGATACTTTCAGCGCCCGCAGTGAGCAGGCATGTCACCGTAGCGGCATGCCCATTGCCCGCTGCCCAGGACAGCGCGGTCCGCTCCGTTTCGTCCTTCATTTCGACATCTGCGCCGTGGCTCAGCAGGAGTTCCGCTGCGCTGGTGAGCCCTTGGCGCGCCGCCCAGGTCAGCACCCAGCCGCGCCGGTCGGCTGCCACCAGGTCGCTGCCGACCTTAGACGTCTGTGAGACGGTCGTTGCGGCCGCCATGGCCACCGCAGTCGCAATTATTGCCTGCGTCTGTATTTGCTCCCGGTGCATGTCCGCTCGAGTGCGAGCCTCCCGTGTTGGGCTGTTGCTGGTCTGCCATACGTCTTCATGCAGGAGGTACTTCTCGATAAGTCCGGGCTGTGGGCCTGCGAGCGCATCGAGTTTCTGGTTTGTTGAAGCGAGCATCTAAGCCCAAATAAATTGCTCTCGTTGCTGCATTTGATGTTGATAGAAGGGGGAAATTGTGGTCTGGAGACCTCCCGTTGCCGAGGTGTTGTATTATAATATTGAAGGCTGAAAGCTCAAAGCCAGGCCCTAGGAAATGTCCAATGAGTGGCAGACACGTCCTGCAGGCAAGCCAGAGCCTCATCCGATTCTATTTTTAAAGAGGGAAAAGATTTAGATGCCCACACATGTTTAGGTAGTTGAGATGCCGACAAAGTCTGATCTCTAACCCAGCACCGTTATTAGCGCCCTTAAACACCGCAATTGAGTGGGTATCAAGACGCTCATAGGAAATTCTTCCTATGGATCAGCCACCTCCACCATCACCGCCGGCTCGTCACTCGAAGCCTCGCCGACCACGGCAACATCCTCCGTCGCCTCGTCCTGTCGCCGCTGACAAGGAGACGGAAATCCACAGCATTGAGTGCTGGATTTACAAAGGTGCCCAACCAACCCAGTCAGAATGCAACATCATCCACAAGAATGACATTGCCAGCTGGCTGGCCAAGCCAGGCCCGTCTTCATTTGATGATCTGCCGCCGGTGGCAGGGCTCCGGCTCGTATGCCGCCAGCAGACGGCATCCACAGAGCCGCCGTTCGACGAGGCCACGCTCAAGGCCATCAACAAAGTTCTTGGATTGCCGGAAAGCCATGACTATCTGGTCACGTGCAATGCTGGCGCTTGTGGCAAGTATGTTGCAAAAGGTGGCCAGCCAAGTGAGTTACCGTGCTCTTTCTCCCGTGATACGGCGAGCAGCGGAATGTGGAGCACAAGAGTATAACGTGATGCAGTTTTCTTATATCACCGATCTAATAACAACGGCACCATCTCCACAGTGCTGCGCTACGACTCGGTCGAGAACATCACTGTGGGCTACCTCTTGCTGGGCCCGCGCATCTCAGCTCCTGCCGTGCGCGCGACTATCCAGTCCCAATTTGCCCAATTCAGCCATCCGCTGCTCGTCCCGACGGTGCTGATGGAGCAGACGGCCGCGGACCTTATGAAGGAGCTCCACGACATCCACACGCACCTCGCCAAGGTCGAGATCCAGACGGGTTACGGCGACTGGGACGGCGCCGTGGCAGCGGCCAGCGCTGCCGACGCAGATCACGACTACCAGCAGCTGGCACGCATGCTCGGTTCGCTGAACTGTCGATATGCCTTCATGGACGTCGCCGTCCGCTGCACCATCTCCATGAGCGACTTCACCATGAAAGAGATGGATGAGATGAAGGCCTACGCCACCTCGTCGCGCTTCCGCCAGCTGCAAACCGTAAGTAATAGCGAGTGTCTGCGGCAGCGGATCGAGCTCCTGGCGAGCAACTTGCGGCACATCGAGATGTTCGGCGCCATCCGCGAGCGCATGCAGGCGCAGCAGAATGTTGTGAGTACCTAGCCACGGGCCAACCCTTGAGACGAGACCCAAGTAGGCGTGCAGTTACTGAAACACCTCGCACAGCTCTTCAATCTGATCTCACAGCGAGACAACGATCTGAACATTGGGATCGCGCGTGCTTCTAAGGAGCTGGCTGCGGCAAGCAAGCGAGACAGCTCTGCTATGAAAATCATTGCCCTCATGACCACACTATTCCTCCCGGGGACTTTTATAGCGGTAGGCAATTTAGGAGCCATCTGGAGCCCCCTAGTAGATCGTTGACTCATGTCGAGCTACAAGCGTGCTCGAACTTCGTATCTACCTCCCGATTCATCACCGGACGCAATCCGCGGCTGACGAGACAGCAGACGTTCTTCGCAATGCCGCTCTTTGACTGGAGTGCGGCGACCATGACCCACGTCATGAGCAACCATTTCTGGATCTACTGGGCGGTGGCCGCACCTCTGACTGTGGCTGTCATGGCCATCATGGGCTTCTACGCCTGGCACCAGAGGGGCAAGAACAGGGATGAAAGGAGAGCGGCCCGGGAGGAGGCCGGCACTAAGGAAGCCTGAGTCGGCGCCATTCCCAATCGTCTTGGGATTTGCCCGTTTGGCTTTCGTTATATTGTATTACTACCTGGAAAAGGAGAAATCGAGAAGCGAGACTGAATTAGAAGCCACACAGGCCGCTGTGGCTCAGGCTAAGGCTGACGCGTCACGTGCCCAAGACCTCAGTCTTGGGTGTGTGGATTCTAGGAACCCATATGCTCCCAAGAGTAGCAGGTTTCCTGGGAGGAAGGCTTCCAGGAACGTATTGGCTTCCAGGAGCTTTACTCCTGGGAGCCCGTGGGCTCTTGGAATCGTTATGACTCCCAGGAGAAAAGATTCCGGGAGTAACCTAGCTCTCGGGATAACCATAGTTGAAATACGATTGATTAATTGGTTCATAGGCTGTCCCAGCCGCCCTTGGAGTTAGATCCCAGCAAGCTGTCCCGCCAGACTGCTTCCCCTTCTCCTTCGATGCAGTTGCACCTCTACTTATAGCTCTAATAACTGTCCTGTATCTGTGGCTTGTCAGGCCTTTCCTGGCCCTCCTCGACTTCTGTATATCTAAAATGCATCCTCAAATGATTCAAATAGCTATCCTGCCTATGCGAATACTTGTCAGGCCATTCCTAGCCCTTCTCTGGCTCTGTGTGTCTGTATATTCGAAGTGCCAATGTGACCGTATGTGTTTTCGCCTTCAAACATTTGCAGTCCGCCCTTTCCAGCCTGTGGCTGTATGGTCGTCAAGATTGGATACGCCGAGCAACCGAACGTTGTATAGAGTTATAGCATCTCCACCAGGACCGTCTTCGAAAAAGGCTACCAGGGTTCTCTGGTCATTGAACTCGAGAGCTTCGCCAATCCTGAGCTTGACCGGAGCAGTCGCTCCGTCTGTCGTCAAAGCTAAGTAAGGAATAGTCGTAAAAGATCGAACGGAAAATCCGTAATACTAATACAATCGGGTAGTATGTACTATATATCATAATACGGTAGCGGCCGAGCATCCGTAATAATATAATTTAAGATCTATATAGCGATCTCAGCAGGTAAAACAGTTATATATTACTGCGGAATATATAGAAGATTCGAACGGTAGTTATAATAAAGGTTAGGGTTAGAACTAGTACTAAGGAATAGGGATAAGGGGAAGTATAAGAAGATAGTATTCGTAAAAAAAGAAATATAACTTACCTGTTTATAGGTTATAATAAACCGTAAATAGGGATAGCTAACTTTATATATAGTTGTTTATAGGCTTTTGAGATTTGGTAAGATAAGGCTGAGGCTGCGGTACTATGGCTAGAACGGCTTACTCGGGGAATTCGGCTAAGAACTTTTTTTTTTTCAAACATTTAATATCCATATTAGACTAGGTAATTGAGTTACTATAAGACCTTTCCTATAAATAGCAATTTCAAAATTAAAAAGGTTTTACTATTATAGGGTCTATATTATATTATATAATAAATACTAGGAAAGCTACTTATATATAAAAAAGTCGAGTTCACAAGCCCTTATTTACCTATAAAAAGTAAAGTTTGCAGGTCCCTTATAACCCATAAATCTAATACCTCCGCCCCCCGTTCTTTACCTTTATTATCTAATAATTGTACCTTTAAGCCATAATAGAGATCCTTTCTTACCTATAAGAAAGAACTAATAATCTATTTCTAGAACTCGAATCCGAGCTAGGTAAAAATACTATAAATTAGTTTATTTTAATATACTTTATAATATATTATAAAGATAATAACCTTTCGGGTATTAATTCCCAAGTAGTTATAGATCCCAGTAGCCCTAATAAAGATAATTCTTAGATATATGCCTTTATATAGAATAGTAGTTATAGTCCAGGAAACGTATTAATATTATCGAACTATAATCTAGATAAGATCTTTGGCCCGTTACTAGACTTAATAGGAAGTATTAGTTATAGGTCTAGCCTTTCTCTAGATAACCAGGGTTCCTACTCTAAAACCAATCCGGATATCCCTATATACTAGTACTATAACTATAAGAAGTATAAGAAGCTTCAGGAATATACTATATAAAAAAGAGGTAAGTATATCTCCTTAGAAATAGTTACTAGCCTATTTTCCCGGCCGGATCTTATTAATATCTTTAATAAGTATTAGAAGCTATTAAAAGCCTATAGCCTCTTTATAGATTAATTATATAAGCCTTTCTAGTAATTTAATATAATTAATAGCCCGGTCTATATTTAGTATTATAAGTATTATTTAATCTTATAGAGATTAGAAACGGATAATAACCTCTAGTAATAGTATTAGTTTATAGCAAAATACCAAACCCTCGAAGGCTATAATAAGTTTTACTATTAAGTAACTAAGTAAAGAATTAATAATATATAGGCTTACGGAAGTAATAAGAATAATAATAATAAAGCCTATAAAAAATATATAAGATATATATTTCTAAATAGTTATCCAGAGACTCTAGTAATAGCCCCGGTAATAGTATTTAAAAAGGACCTCTAGTTTGCCCGGTAATAAGTAATCTAGATAGAAAGTTATAATAAAAAGAAAGATAGTCTAATACCTGGTCTAGGTATTGGGATTAGTTTACTTATTAGGCTAGAGATTAAGAAAAGAATATATAAATAAATCTAATCGGGGATTATTAAATAATTACTTATACTAATATATAATCTAGTTACTCGACTACTAATTATAATTATATATACCTTAAATTACTCCTCAAGTATATTTATAAAGTATATCCGAATATTATTACTATATACCGGATATTAGAACTAGCTACTTAGAGCCTAGTCAGAAACTATTAACTTAGTAATTATAATAATTAGGATATTATCTCGAAAAAACTCGGATAATATCTCTAGCTACTTACTTAATATATTATATAAAGTCTTTTTTCTTTTAGAAATATTATTTAATAAATCTTTATATATTAAATATAAAATATTTCTATAATAGAATTTAATTAAACTATTAATCTAACTATAAACTTTCTAAATTTTCTTCCTTACTTATAATAAGTAATAATAGGATTAATCTACGGATAGATAAGAAAGCTACTAATAGTTTAAGAGTAAACCAAATACTAATTATAATCGAGTAACGGAAAAATAGTAACTCCTATAAAAAATATTACTTTTACCTAAACTATACTAATATACTTTAGAGTCTGTCTTCCAGAACTTCGACCCCAAATCTCTCTATCTTATAGTACTAATATAGTCCTAATTATCTAGCTAATTACCCTTCCCTACTATTTTATTATACCTCCGCTCGCTTCTCTCGGCTATCCGGCCGAATATAGGGGATATGGTTTTTTAGCTACAAGTAATATAGTATTTATAAGGCTTTTTATATAGAAAGGTTTAACGGAGGTAGTTAAGAGTATAGAGTCTTCCGTATTATTTAATGGCAGGCGTAGAGGGAGGCAAAGAGGAAGGTATATCGGATTGGCATTTCTCAGGTTATTGAGGTTGTTCGGTGTTTAGATAAGTATAGAGGCATAGTTAGCAAAGCCGTGGTTGTGGTTGTAGTGAAGAGGTCATGCTAGAGGAAACATTCAAGCCGGCATCCGAACCAGATCTTTGAACCAGTGGCAATAGCACCCGCCAGCTCTCAAATTCTACCAGTACAATCGCTCGAGAATCGGTGACAGGAAGCGCACATCGAATATTTTGACCGGTCGGATCTGAGGTAACATCGGGGTATTGGGACGGATAGGGCAAAGACTAGCCTTGGTTGTGATAATAAGGACCACCTATTTCGGCGACCGGAAGATGAGGCAAAGGTGAACCCATATGCTACTACTGTTATTGAAGAGGATCTAATAATTGCATGCTCGGGAGAGATATCGAGCCGTTACTATCAGCAGGGCTTGCGCGATACGGTTCGTTCATCTATTGGTTATTTGGCGAAGGGTAGTTGTATTGGGCCTTCAACATCGATGGCGAGGGATATGAGGTCGGGCTTGGATAGTTGACAGGTTGGCGAGACTGGCTATCTTGCTTCTGTGAGCTCGGCATTAATAAGGAGATAGCGCGGAGCCGTTTTGCAGGCGTATTGATAGATGAGGGCTGTTTTGATGGGAATGCTGCGCCATTTCACGGGTGATGCGGTCGTTGACAGATTTCGAGGTGAGGCACTCTCACCCTCGACAATAACGAACTGCTGCTATCAGGGAAAGTGAAGTCAGCTTGAAAGACGCCGATGATGAGACGAGAGCTTCGTAGATGCGAGGACTCTCGAAGTGGGGAGATGACGAGTGTTTTGATGGTGAATGCAGGATATGTGGATAGGTCCGTCTGTAACATTGACTGAAAAGGGGGCGCAAAGACGTAATAATGATGATTATAGGGGCTGGATGTAGATGTTGGAGGTGATGGGAGAATGCGGCTCTGTCGCTTGTGGTGCCACCTGCGTGCTACGCATATCAATGCCAACTTGCAGGCAGCCCCACTTGTCGGAACTCCGTCAACTCCACGAACGGCAACACAGACAAGGGCGCCATCGCATTCACGAGCCTTCTGCGACTTCATTAACATGAAAGCACTAGGAGCAAGTACGTTTTATCCCGAGATCTTTAAATATCTACAAAGACTAATCAGGCACTCAGCTATTCTAATTATCGCCAACGTACACGGAAGACAGCCCGCCTCATATCATATAGCTGCTCGCGACTTGTACGAAAGATCGATTCGGCCATCTCCCAAAGGAAATTCGGTCGATAATATGGTCGTTTGCTGTATAAAGAGGAGCTGCTTTGGATTTGCCAAATAGTCTTGAAATCTCATGGGTTCTACTAGTGTGAATGTGCCGTCCACAAAACAGTACACGACCTGATCATGCATTCCATGGCGACGTGGTCCACCCCTCTTCGATAGCCAGTCCTTGCACTTTGAAATCTCATTTTACGACTTGAGCATTTCAGGACTTCGACCCCCGTCTGAATAATGCCATCTTCGACTCGTGTGATGTCTGCGCGGATTTCCGACTTGGTAGTTGAATACGAACTTGTACCAGCATTGATTCTCGTGCCAGCATGTGAACTCGTAGAAGCTCAAAATCTCGCACGAGCCCGTATACTTCCACCTGACTATCGTTCCTACTCCTCTAGCTGGCCTACAATAGCTGGATCTGCGGTTGCACGGCTATAATCTACAGTAGTTGTTCTCAGCCTTGCAACATCCGCTTATCAATCTGAAAGCTCATCCCCGGATAAATAAAAAAACATGTTAGTTCCGTTTGAGGAAGTTCTTCGCCGCAAGGCTAGCGGCTTCTGAGGAGACAGCATTTGAGCCAGAACTAGGCGGGTCCATACACAGATCTCGCCCATTTGTGCTGGCGCATTGGGTGGACCAGCCCAATTGTGCGGGCACGATCCCTGAGCTAGAGCAACTGTCCCAACCTTGTCCCACGTGCCGGGACACCATCTGTCCCAGCACAATTGGGCCAGGACAAAATGTAAGCCAGCCCAATTGTGCGGGCACGATCGCTGAGCCAGAGCAACTGTCCCAACCGGAATGACGGTCCTGGGCAAGCGGAAGGTCCGCCTTCTAAATAAAGGCTAAGGGGTCCATCCTGATAGAGATCATCCAAAAAGCTTGGTTTCTACACACTACTTGGTTTCTGCACCAAGTGGTCTGTAGAAACCAAGTGGTGTGCACAAACCAAGTGGTGTGTACGCACCAAATGTTCTGCCTGAGATCAGCGAGCCGGGCCTAGATATGCCGGCGAAAGACCTTGCGGACCCCCATCTTGAACCCCTAACTTAACGTTATCGGTGGTGAGTTCGAGCTCTGGTTTCTGGAGGCTGGGAGGGAGTTCCGGCGAGTTTGTTGTGCCACTTCGAATTCTGTAGTCGATACGATGACAAGTTGAGGGGTCGAGGGATCGTTGACGGTTGGGAAGGCTATCTCGAGTATACAACTGATTCTTTCCAAGTATTAGCAAAATTTGAAACGAAAATAAGGGATGTTAAAGCACACCTTTTGCTTGGGCTCTGTTCCGCTGGACGTTCCCGCTATAGAGGGTCTCCAGTCCCTGCGAGCACTCCCCGCGGATCTGACAGTCTGCCACACAGTACGCCTAGCCAGCCAGGTCATATTCGGAGCCATTAATGGTGGAACTCAGCAAAACGTGAAGATTCCCGGTCCAGGTATAAAAATTGTGAGCTGCGCAGTGCTTGGTTCTTGATTAACAGTCCCATGTTGCAAAGGAGACATCATGCTGAATGCCCAAGATGGCTTTATAATGTTCCTCCATGAGTGCGGCTCTCGATGTTGATGCAATCCTTTGTTTTGGTGAGCAGATTGTGTGAGGCGTAAGGTAAGGCAGGCACGCTAATAGTGGGTAGATTAGAATCCCC